CATTAGAAAAATCGTGTCATGGCTCCTTAAACTTTTGAAACTTCCTTAAGCAAAAATCCTAAATCAGTCGATTAAAAAAAAAAAGACTTAAAAGGTGTGTTAAGCGCGGAAGTGCGCTGACGTTACCATTCGTGCAGCAGGCAGGAGGCTTGGGATGCGAAAACGAGGATGATGAGAATATAATCCGCGTTCTTAGCAGATCACAGTTACAAAAGAAACACAAGAAATAGATTGCCAAACATTGCCCGGTCGCACCGACTTAATGTAAGACCTTAAAAGTAAAATCACTTTTAACGAGAGCCTGAGCAAATAAGCAAAAGAAAGAAAAATCGGTATTACGCCCCACAGTAGACTTAAATCTGTCGCTTCCCGGGGCAGACGCGTAGACATAAAGGCACTCTAGTTTTATTCGTGGTAGACTTCAATAATCTTGAGATTTCAGAGCGGTTTCAGTTCGTGCAAGCACCGCAATCGTTGGATCTAGGACCACTAAAAGAAACTACAATTTGAAGTAACCACGATTCAGCTACGGATGGATGGATGGATAGTAATGGCTATACCCTTAGTAACGGGCGGCAGCTTGCGCCACCTAGCCTAACATTTCGTCATCCCTTATTTTTTTTTTTTATTTGTATCAATTTTGTTTTAACAGAACCCCCATCCCCCCTTTTTTTTAAAGTGATTCCATTGCTTATTTTTATCTGTTTTTTTTATCCCTCCCTAGATCTCTTCCACCAATTCTCCAATCTCCTCTTAGTTACCACAATTCTTTTCTTTCCTTATCCATTCGTCCATCCATGTCCGGAAAACCAAGTGCCCCCTCCAAATACGTCGTCATCGCCCCCAAAAGGGTGGGACGAAGCCCCGTGCACCTTAAAATTACATGTTCTATAGTTTCCCTTTCGCGGTTGCATACGTCGCACAGATCGAGTGTCCACTTCCTGGAATTTAGCCCTATACGTTTTTGTTCTTAGCATTCCCGTTTTAGCTTCAAACGGCAAAGAGCTCCCAACTGAATTATTATACAGCTGTTCCTTCTTTATTTCTTGTTTTTTTTGCCCTGTATATTGTTAAAGCTGATTTCCCCTGCGTTCTCTCTTCCCACAATTTCCGCTCAGTTTCCTTTACTCCCTGTTCTACTGATATGCTCTGATCGGCCCCCTCTCGTTGAATGTATTTAAATCTCAGCTTGGGGTTTGGTTTGTCCACTTAGTGTTCAGACTTTTCATATATAGATGATACCTGTACATTTTTGCTGCCCACCGTGTATCCTCAATTTCAGCTAGTCTTTGTTCAAATTTTACTTTACTGTTCGCTTCTATACTCTCGAAAGATGCCCACCCCATATCCGCCTGTACTCCCTCATTTGGTGTATTCCCATGTGCCCCCAATGCCAACCTACCCACACTCCTTTGCTGTATCTCCAAATCTGCCTGGATTTCTGACCTCATACACAATACCACATTCCCAAATGACAGTCCTGGCACCGTGACTCCCTTCCATACACCCTTAACAACTTCATATCTATTATAGTTCCATAATGCCCTGTGTTTCATGATAGCCGAATCTCGTTTCCCCTTCTTTATTACAATATCTTCATGGTCTTTTAGATACCGTCTTCCTTCACTTAACCATACTCCCAGATATTTGTACTTTTCTACGTGTTCTATCAATGTGTCCTGTATCTTGAGAGATTCCCTCTTCTCGTCATTGAAAACTATTGTACCCGACTTGTCCCTACTAAATTTTAGTCCTAAATTGTCCCCTTCCCTGCTGCAAATCCTAATCAGTTCCTGTATTGTCTCACAACTTTCTGATACGAGTACAATGTCGTCTGCCTGCATACATTAACCCTGGCAATACTTGATTTGCTTTATGTCCTTCCTCCATGCAAGTTAGGCAACATGGGTGAGTAGAATCAAGGTTGCCAGATAGCGACCGCTTTTGCCCTGATCGTGCCTGACGGAAGATGCAAAAAATAAAAAGTGAATTCTATCGTCTTCTTCGTCATGACAGTTCACAACACAGCGAAACAATACCGCGTGACCTCCTCACACTGTATCTGCAACTCAAAAGGACGCAATTCAGAACCATATAACCCTCGCAAACGGTGTTCGTGGGAATCTAAACACTAAGATGGAAGCGCCGACGACCCGCTAGAATGTAAACAAATGTCACGGGACGCAAAGGGACGAATGACTCTGTTGACGGCATTGAACAATGGGGGAAACGAGTAACAATACCTTGAGCATAGCTTCCGAGTGACGCTATATATTTGGGTTGTGACGTTCGTGCTCTTAGTGCGCTGCCCGAGAGGCGGTTCCACTAGTATATTTATCGTCTAAAAAAAGTGGTATCTTGATTTCTGCGTACACGACCTTACAGAGATGTCATAGCAGCGCTGGTGGATGTGCTGCTGCAGGTCGCTCTCTAGCTGGACAACCCACAGAAGTTTCGGCAGCCAGGAGTTTAACATTGACTTAAAACGAAAGAAACACACAAGAGCACGAAACAGACGGGACGAAATGCGGGTGTCGCTATGACAGCGACACCCACATTCGTTCGAAGTTTTTGCCACGACGCCGAAGTGATTCCATTGCTTATTTTTATCTGTTTTTTTTATCCCTCCCTAGATCTCTTCCACCAATTCTCCAATCTCCTCTTAGTTACCACAATTCTTTTCTTTCCTTATCCATTCGTCCATCCATGTCCGGAAAACCAAGTGCCCCCTCCAAATACGTCGTCATCGCCCCCAAAAGGGTGGGACGAAGCCCCGTGCACCTTAAAATTACATGTTCTATAGTTTCCCTTTCGCGGTTGCATACGTCGCACAGATCGAGTGTCCACTTCCTGGAATTTAGCCCTATACGTTTTTGTTCTTAGCATTCCCGTTTTAGCTTCAAACGGCAAAGAGCTCCCAACTGAATTATTATACAGCTGTTCCTTCTTTATTTCTTGTTTTTTTGCTCTGTATATTGTTAAAGCTGATTTCCCCTGCGTTCTTTCTTCCCACAATTTCCGCTCAGTTTCCTTTACTCCCTGTTCTACTGATATGCTCTGATCGGCCCCCTCTCGTTGAATGTATTTAAATCTCAGCTTGGGGTTTGGTTTGTCCACTTAGTGTTCAGACTTTTCATATATAGATGATACCTGTACATTTTTGCTGCCCACCGTGTATCCTCAATTTCAGCTAGTCTTTGTTCAAATTTTACTTTACTGTTCGCTTCTATACTCTCGAAAGATGCCCACCCCATATCCGCCTGTACTCCCTCATTTGGTGTATTCCCATGTGCCCCCAATGCCAACCTACCCACACTCCTTTGCTGTATCTCCAAATCTGCCTGGATTTCTGACCTCATACACAATACCACATTCCCAAATGACAGTCCTGGCACCGTGACTCCCTTCCATACACCCTTAACAACTTCATATCTATTATAGTTCCATAATGCCCTGTGTTTCATGATAGCCGAATCTCGTTTCCCCTTCTTTATTACAATATCTTCATGGTCTTTTAGATACCGTCTTCCTTCACTTAACCATACTCCCAGATATTTGTACTTTTCTACGTGTTCTATCAATGTATCCTGTATCTTGAGAGATTCCCTCTTCTCGTCATTGAAAACTATTGTACCCGACTTGTCCCTACTAAATTTTAGTCCTAAATTGTCCCCTTCCCTGCTGCAAATCCTAATCAGTTCCTGTATTGTCTCACAACTTTCTGATACGAGTACAATGTCGTCTGCCTGCATACATTAACCCTGGCAATACTTGATTTGCTTTATGTCCTTCCTCCATGCAAGTTAGGCAACATGGGTGAGTAGAATCAAGGTTGCCAGATAGCGACCGCTTTTGCCCTGATCGTGCCTGACGGAAGATGCAAAAAATAAAAAGTGCATTCTATCGTCTTCTTCGTCATGACAGTTCACAACACAGCGAAACAATACCGCGTGACCTCCTCACACTGTATCTGCAACTCAAAAGGACGCAATTCAGAACCATATAACCCTCGCAAACGGTGTTCGTGGGAATCTAAACACTAAGATGGAAGCGCCGACGACCCGCTAGAATGTAAACAAATGTCACGGGACGCAAAGGGACGAATGACTCTGTTGACGGCATTGAACAATGGGGGAAACGAGTAACAATACCTTGAGCATAGCTTCCGAGTGACGCTATATATTTGGGTTGTGACGTTCGTGCTCTTAGTGCGCTGCCCGAGAGGCGGTTCCACTAGTATATTTATCGCCTAAAAAAAGTGGTATCTTGATTTCTGCGTACACGACCTTACAGAGATGTCATAGCAGCGCTGGTGGATGTGCTGCTGCAGGTCGCTCTCTAGCTGGACAACCCACAGAAGTTTCGGCAGCCAGGAGTTTAACATTGACTTAAAACGAAAGAAACACACAAGAGCACGAAACAGACGGGACGAAATGCGGGTGTCGCTATGACAGCGACACCCACATTCGTTCGAAGTTTTTGCCACGACGCCTAGCACCAGCCGCAAGGATCACGACATCCGAAAGCTTGATACACCTGTGACGTCATTTGTTGCCACTTCAGGACCACTTATAATGTATGGGCGTAATATGATGCTAACACAGAAGTCGGAGACGCTTTTCAAGCACCGTACTCTTACGCCGCATTAGGAAGTTTTCGTTGATCGTCTCCGCTAGCCCGCAAGGCCCTCTGCAACGCGCTACGATGCCCGGAACTCTACAGCCAGGGCCATCGGCGCGCAGGTGCAGTGTCGGCTTCTTCGTTGCGAAGGGCTTAGCGGAGGGGGTACGTTGGTCTACGAAAACTCCCTATTCACACTGGCGGCGGAACCACATCCGCAAAACGGTTGCGAACGCGGTTGATTAATGTTGCAGTACAAATTCACGCGCATGAAAACGTCATAAAAACGAACGGATCCGCTTCGCGGTCGTGATTCAAATGCCAGCGTGAATGCAGCATTACTGCCCTCCAGCAAGTGACGTAGCGAAAGGCGACCTCACCTGATGGCAATGACCTTGCCGATGTCCAGCGGCACCTTGCGCACCTGGGCGATGAAGATGGCAGCCACCGCCTCGTAGAGCGCCGTGCCGTCCATGTTGATAGTGGCTCCGATGGGGATGCAGAAGCGCACCACCTTGGGGTTCACCTTCACCTTATCCTCGAGGATGGCGATGGTCACTGGTAGGGTTGCCGAACTGCACCGCCGAGCACCAGAACGGGAAAAAAGTCAGAGACCTCGTTTTCACGCCATAAATGAGCGCTTTAAAAGTGTTCTTTCAATAACCTCATGAGGTATATTGTATTTTTTTTTTTACTGTTTTACCGTGATTGTCGGGAGGACTACTTGCTATTTCAGGCCGCTGTGTAAGGGGTGGTCAATAGACCCTTTTGAAAAGTGTGCTTCATCTGCTGCGCGGATCATCCGAGTCCGCCATTGCTTGGGCACGCACTCTGGGCGTCTATTGGACACGAGGGCTGCGTCGGCGTTCGGCGTGAACTCGGCTGAGTTTGTATGGAGAGCGAGTGTGGCACCAGCATTCGGCGACGACTCGGATTCAATCATTCGCTTTGTGGATGGATGAATGAATGCTAACGGCTGTACCCTTTCTATCGGGCGACAGCTTGCGCCACCTAGACTAGCTGTACGTTCCCAAGAAATAGTCAATGTTGCTTGTATGGGTTTTGAAAATAGTCAGTTGAGCGAATGAGAAGACGTTTCTCCGTATGCACACTAGATTTTTAAGTTTATAGAGATAATCGTCAGCTGTTGATATATTTTTTACATCAAGTAAATGTACAACATTTTTGGTTTCTAGAGAATAGTTTCATACGGCAAACAGATCTTCGTTTAGAGGAACAGGAGGGAGAACACCCGAGGGCTCCTATCGTTATAAGATTGTTCATTGTTTAAGTAATACAAAGCATTTCAGAATCACATGAGCGGTCGAAAGGCAGAGATCTAGATTAGGCAATCAGCTATACATAATTTTTTGCCCCTGTTCTTTGTCAGAGAGGAAGAAAAATGGTGACGTTTGCATAGATTGCGGAAGCATCAAACTTCGAGCGAGGTACAAGGACCGTACGCGTTCGTACTACTGAGACAAAATATAAAAAAAGTTAGTTAAAATTGTTCTGCCTTTTGTTTGTTAAACAGTGCCTTCGATCAACGCGCAAAACGTTCTGCTTGCCGATTTTAAAAAGTCCAACAACCTGTGGTCTGCCGACATGACACGAACGTTTACATTCGAAAATGTACACATTAGTGTAAACAGCGAAGACTACAAAGTTTAAATAAGCCCCTACTATAACTATTTAACGGCCCTCGTTAAACTGGACCAAACAAATCTGCAGGCAATTAACAAATATAAACAAAAGACCTCTCCTGACAGGCTGGAAATATTACACGTCGAAGTGTGACAAAAAGGGATTGCCTTTGACGATTTGGGTTTCTCTACCCAAGTAGTGTTTCATTATTATTTTAAACTCTTCTTCCAGCTTGCGTGTGCAATAAACTTAACTTCCAGATTATGTTCCCTGTTTGAATAGTGAGCTCAGGAGTTTTGCTTTCTTCCCTCCAATAGAATGCAATGGGGTGTAGACCTATGCTGAGCGTAAGTTGGTCTGCTTCTTTTGCAGGTGTTGTGGTGACGTCAGAACACCGGGCTCTGATTGGCCCTGATTGAAGGATAGTGGGTAGAACTCAAGGCAAGCTGCCTTGAGGTCTACTAACTATCCTTTAATCAAAGCCAATCAGAGTTCGGCGTTCTGACGTCACCACAACACCTGCAAAAGAAGCAGACCAACTTGCGCTCCGCATAACCAACAGTTTTCTTAATTCACCTCAGGTCCAGGCATTTCGTGAAGCCTGGATAAAAGCGTGGCCGTGAGGCTCGGCACTGATTGGTTGACGGGCAAGAGAGGAGTGAGGTGCTCGATGTTGATTGGTTAACGGGAATGTTATGTGACCGGAGGAGCCAGACACAGCCGACGCTACGATCTGATGGGACCGATCAAATAGCGTCAACAGAGCACCGTCATGGTAATCGTCATGTTTCTGTCCGTGTTCTATTAACGCTGAACCATTCACAAACTAGAAAATCATGAGCCATTCCACTCTGTGAAGATGGATGACCAGAGAAGCTGTTTAGCACATTACACAGACTCGCCCCGAGGAGCCGGAGGAAGCTAGACACGCGCGTCGGGGCCGCCACCCGGCGGAAAGTAGACACGCGCGACGGGACCGTCACACCAGGGAGGGTGGAAGGAAAGGAAACTAGGCAAGCAAGCGCTTGGAACGACGACAAAGAGGGGACGGTGCGAACGTAGACATGGTCTGCGTGTCGCACAGCGGCAAATCTTTGAGAGAAACCGTTACCTTTCTGAGAGTCTACTGATCTTGAAAATGCTGCCTATTGATTACTAATCTATTGAATAGACCAATGGCTAAGCTACCAAAGCATCAAGGAAAATGCAGGGGATAGTGTTCCACGCGCCGTACGTGCCGGCGTCTGCAGCAGTAACTGTTCTAAAGCAAAAGCCTAAAACAAAAGGCACCTTGCACGCGCGTTCGTCAACGCGTTTTTTTTTTGGTCATTTACATGGAATCTTTTATACGGGGAAGGCGTGCGCGTGCGAAGCGTGCGGCGGTGCGAGTGTAGAGTTTTTGGTCACGCACAAGAAAAATCCACGGAACCCTAGCAACAAACAAATCGCTGTAAAAGACCTTGTTACTCGCACTTTTGATTGGTCCTCTTTAACCTCGTAGCGTCGGCTGCGTTTGGACTTAATCTGACCCGAATCCCGGCGTTGAGCCGGGATTCGTGTCCTTGCTGATAAAACGAGTCCCAGCCCAGCGCTGCTGACACAGCACTCGCTTCCAAGCTGTGCCTCCCGCCCTGGCCTCCGAGACATGAGACCCTCCACCCCCGTTTTATTTTTTTTGTCTGCCAGGCGATCCACTAGGGTATCAATATTTTGGTACAGCGTTAGTATATTTTTAATGAAGCAAAAAAACGCAACTGCTCGAAACCGAAATTTAAAATAAACTAGGGAGAAAGAAGAAATATAAAGAAGGAGAGAGTTACCGGAAGTCACGTAACTGTGCAACTATTTTTTCAATCAACGTACCATTTTCAGTTTTTAGAAGACGCGAAAAGTTTGTATCATTTTTTTTCTAATTTTAATATTGAGTGCGGGCCTTCAATGACCCATGACATTGATTATCCTTTGGTGGTTGTGTCTAAACCATAGAGGACGACACGTGACCGCGGAGAAGAGAGTGAGCGCTACTCAAACCGGCCAGTTCTCGACCGGCGGCTTTCGGTCGGAAAGAAAACAAGATTCGAGCCGTAAATTGTGTTCTGGGTAGTTGGGCTCTCATATGCCACGTACAAATAAAAACCTTGGCGAGCATAAATACCCTGTCAGTGTCCTTTAAATTGTCAGTTACTATTGGGAAGGAAATCAAACCACAGAGGGCGCGTTGTCCAGCTTATTTTTCACAAAGTTCGGTGTTTATGTGAAACTATGGTGCCTGGAACGCGACTCCGACTTGTGTAATTACCGCGTCCTCAAAAAAGTGGTCCTTCGATTTTCGCCCGACGTCGTCAGAATGGTGTCCCGCTACCAAAGGCTGCCATCCTTGCGGTGTCACGCTCTCCAGCTTGACGTTCCACTGATGCTTTAGCAGTCAGTCAGGAGTTGGGAGGACGCCGCAACCACCGCTATACACTCGCAATTGCTTGTGCTTTTTGCCGGAGCTTCTACGTCCAACTGCCAGGATCGCGACGTCTGACGACATGACGCTCCGGCTCCTGAGTGACGTCATTTGTCGCCACTTCGAGATTCTTTCCGGTGCATGGGAGGGATAGGGCCTCGAAGAAATTCTAGGGCCCCACGAAGCCCAGCCTCATCAGTCAAGCCCGGCAACAAAAGTTGTGTTTTTTTGTTTTTTTTTTAGATTGACAAAAACGTTTCAACTTTTGGGTGAGTTCTCTCGTGTGTGTCTCAATGAGAGTAGTCTGCTTCATACTAACCCTTAGTTATTTCGACTTATTAAATTATCATCATAATTTACCTAAACGTTCCTCTTCCCCTCATCATGAACAGAGTCCTCCACTATCTTCGACAATCCACAAGGGGTCCGCGAAACATCAGTGGTCGAGAACCACTGCTTTTTAGCATCCTCGATCGAGCGCGGGGCACAGATATAATGCACAAGAGCTGCGTCGGCGTTCAGATGAGAATCATGGTCAATGAGCACCACCTAAGAGACACCTCCAGACAACGTGATGACTGGTGGTGACGTCGGAACGCCAAGCTTTGATTGGCTGCCATTGGAAGGATAGTGGGTAGACATCAAGGCAGCTAGCATTGAAGTCTACCCACTATCCTTCCAATCAGGTCCAATGAGAGCTCGGCGTTCTGACGCAATGCTTCCGTTGCGCAAGAAGCAGACGAACTTGCACTCCGCATCGGTTCAATGGACGCTCAACTAATTGAGTGCGAGCTCCAACCAAATGCTGACGCAGCGTTCGGGTACGTCAACCGAGCGTTGCAACCAAAACAATACTTTCCCATAAAGCAGTGATGGCGCAAGTGAGCTGATGTAGATTCACCATCTTAAACCACCTTAGATGGGACGGAAAACGAGAAGATACCAAACTAGAAGAAAGATGAATAAAATACAGCATGCAACGTCTCAATCTCAGCTGCGACGTATCATAAGCTGGGATTGAGACATTTCCTTCTGCCGTACTCTTTCCTTCTCTTTCACTTTGGATTGTCCTCCCTCTGGACCCAGTCTGTGGTGGTTGAAGAAAACGGCAAATAAATCCTTCCGCTGTTTTCCCCGCACGTTTAGTTCTCAATTTAGCCGCTAGGAACTTCATTGTTGGATTTCCTATAGCCAATAGGAGACGAAGCTTCACTTGCCTGGAGGCCGTGCCGAAGGCGGTGGCAATGGCCTGCATCATGTCCATGAGGAAGAGGAAGGGCGCCTTTCGCATCACGATCGAGTAGATGAGCGGCAGCACGATGAAGCCGTGCAGGAAGAGGCCCAGGAGCACGGTGAGCGAGTACATGCCCACCTGGCCGGCCACCACCGAGAAGTCCTCCATGGCTAGCATCTTTGCCATCACCAGGAACATCACGCCCACCGGGGAGAACCTGGGGGAAGCATCCGGATATTCTCTCCACTTTCTTCTTTTATACTTCCTGCTACGATCCGATGGAGCCATTCAAGCTTCGTAAAAGTGCATCGTCATGCCGCTCTTGGCTTCGTACGTTTCTTATCACCGGCTAAACCAATGACACACTAGCCCGGATTAACGCCGAAGCTTTGTCTGACGCCAAAAATTGACACTCAAAAACACAGAATTTGTGAGGAAAAATAAATGCCGAAAAGACCCCCCCCCCCCCCCCCCCAATTCAAATTCGAATAAAAATAAAAACCGAAGAGATAGAACAGGTGTCTTACCAGACGACCAGCTTGGTGATGATCATCATGGCGTCCGAGAGGGACGTGAACATGTCCAGCAGGGGCTTGCCGCTGTCCCCCATCCTACCCACGGTGGCCCCGAGGGCAATACAGAACACGATAAGGCCCAGGATGTTGGTGCCGGGGTCGCTGACTGTCTGGAAGTCCCAGTCGTACATGGACGCTGCGGTAGAGAGTACGACGCGGCTGTCAGCTAAGGGCTTTTTCATCTCAGTAGTTACCTGACCCACGGATAGAGGGAGCTTACGCACTGGACGCCATACACCATACAGACTGGAGGAATGGGCAGATTGCGAGGGCATACTGGGCGAATTACAGAACGGGTTTCGAAAACAAAGAAGGTTGGAGGACAATTTATTTTCTCTAACACAGTGTATAGAAATAGCGCAAAAAGAAAACAGACAGCTCTGGCTGGCATTTCTGGATATCAAGGGTGCCTATGACAATGTGAACCAAAGAAACCTGTGGGACATAATGGAGAACTTAAACCTAGATGAAGGACTAACAGCACTATTAAGGAACATTTACAAAGATAACAAGGTGATTATAACATGGGAAGGAAAGGCGACAGGGAAAATAGAGATAAGACGAGGCCTTAGGCAGGGGTGCCCGTTATCGCCTTTGCTGTTTATGTTGTATCTGAGAGGATTGGAGGATAGACTAGAGAAGAGTGAGCTTGGGTTCAACCTTTCTTACAGTAAGCTAGGCCAAAAAATTCAGCAATCCTTACCGGGATTGATGTATGCGGATGAATATATTGTACTAATGGCTAACAACAGGACAGAGTTGCAGGAATTAATGAGCATCTGTGGTAGGGAAGGAGAGGAATTAGGTTTAGAATTCAGTAGCGAAAAATCGGCAGTCATGATTTTTAACGAGGATGAAGTTGAGAGGCTGAAGATACAGAATATTACAGTTGAGAGAGCTAGTAAATACAAGTATCTAGGAGTATGGATATGTGATGGTGCAGAATATCTCAGAGACCATGAAAAGTATATAATAGGTAAGGGCAACAGAAATGCAGCTGTAATGAAAAATAGAGCACTTTGGAATTACAACAGGTATGAGGTGGTGAGAGAGATTTGGAAAGGGGTCATGGTGCCTGGCTTGACTTTTGGAAACGCAGTGCTATGCATGAAATCCGAAGTGCATGCGAGACTAGAAATAAAACAGCGCGGAGTAGGTAGACTGGCTTTGGGGGCACATTGCAAAACGCCAAACCAGGGAGTACAAGGAGACATGGGATGGGCATCATTTGAGAGCAGGGAAGCGGTGAGCAAGGTAGAATTTGAGGATAGGTTGAGGCAAATGGACCGGGAGCAATGGGCACGAAAGGTTTTCAGCTATTTATACATGAGGAGTGTAGACACAAAGTGGAGACAGCGCACTAGGAAATTAAGAGGAAAGTTTTTGGGCTATAGCGAAGATACGGAAGAGCAAGTCTCAGTTAAGAAGAAAGTTAAGGCCACAGAAAGAGATTGGTGGCTAGAGGGAATGCAGACAAAGACGGCTCTGGAAAGCTATAGATTAAACAAAAGAGTTATTGCCAAAGAAAGCATTTATGACAATTCTAGGGGAAGCTCATTGCTGTTTGAGGCAAGAACGGGTGTTCTGCGAACCAGAACATACAGAGTGAAGTACCAGGAAATTGATACAGTGTGCACTGCTTGTGGAGAGGAGGACGAGACGGCTGAGCACTTGATACTCTACTGTAAAGGGCTTCACCCTATGCCTACCGAAGACAACATAGATTTAATAAAGTCATTGGGTTTTAGAGACAGCGAAGGGAGAGTGGATTTCAAGACTGTAGAGATTACCAAGCAAAGATTAAGTGAATGGTGGCAGAAATCGAGAGAAAACTAGGTATTTTCTTATCCACTGATGGCAAGGGGGTTTCATAGCCTCACTTTCTTTGCACTGCGGAGTGAATATAGATTTCACATTTAAATATTCTAAGTTTAAATGGTAAAACAAAATGGCTAGGTGGCGTAAGCTACCGCCCGATCCAAAGGGCTCAGCCGTATTCATCCATCCATCCATCCATCCATAGAGCTCCCGTATAGGCTGCCTACGGGAGCCAGAGTTGCGCGTCTGTTTTCCACGTGCCGCCGCCGCTATTCGCCGAGACCCGATCACATGAGGAGCGGGATCAAGTGCCGTGCAGGAAAGGAGACGTTGCATGCGCCCCGCCGTGCGTTCCTCTGCTTCTGTGCGCGCTGCGCGCCTCGAACGCGCGGCGCCGCTATTCGCCGAAGTCAGTCACGTGAGGAGCGGGATCAACATGCCGTGCAGGACAGACGGCGCTACGGAGATGAACGCGGAACTCTGGCTCGCTACCCGCTCATTCACACTGGAAGCGGATCCGCGTTCGCAAAGCGGTTGCGAACGATCCAGCACAATTGCACGCGTATGTGATGTCATCGGGTGCGCGAGCAATGGACCTTTTCCGAGAAGCGTTCTGCGCACGCGCGAGCGCCCGATGCCAAGCGGTGGAAGTCGGCACGAAAAATCGAGGAAATTCGGAATGAGGCTGGGGATCAGCGAGTACAACACGTAATTGCAGCATATATATAATTGTGTTACACAAAAAAAGAAAGTGAACGGAAAGAAAAACACGACGTTTGGGTGGACGCTACGGATGTCTCTCTTTAATAGACAGTTTTAGTGGATCGTACGCTAAAGCCTTGCGTACGCAATAAAATTGCGGGTCGTGAGTGCGCGTGCGCAGAACGCAATAGAAGAGCTAGCGTATTGCGTACGCACGCAACGCTGGGGATTTTGCGTGGCGGGCTAGCGGGCTCTGCGGGACGTTCTCGAGAGATCTCGGACCCAACGAGAGCGCCAGTTTCAAGATGGCGGTTACCTCGACTGCCGCAGCAAAGGCGACGTGGTGTTTTCGAAGTTCTGTGTTACGTGAAATTGCGTGGTGTTCAGCTCGGCAATTCTTTCCGGGACCTACGGCGGTCGAATCAGATCGCCGTGCAGCTGAAGGAGTGCACAGTGAAAATGTTCGCCGCGTGGAATGTGCGTCAACGCTGCGATCTGCTCAACGCTAAGCCTATTCGCACAGTTCATCGCCGACGGACGAGCGACTCTAAAAGAAATCGCCGAAGTTCTCGCTATGTACTGGACATCAGTAGGTCATGAATTTCATTCCGCGATAGCATTGATAAAAGGTGCCGTTTCAAAGGGAAGATTGACGGAGGCTCCGTGATCGAATTTGGCTACGCACTCTTAAGCCTGGTTCAGACAGTTGCGTTTGACTGCGTTTGACTGCGTTGCGGCAGCAAGAAACCAGGACATCCCTGCTACTTATATCGCGTGCTAAGATGATTATTTGAATTGGATTGGACGCTTCACATGAAGCACAGAGGTGCCGGTGACTCGCTTTCGGTTCTCGACGCAACGCAGTCAAACGCACTCAAACGCAAATGTCTGGACAGGCCTTTACTCGTAGCCTCTGTACCCCTCAGAAAAGCGCGCTTGACGAGGCAGCTGCGGTTTGGTTTAATTTGAAATAAAATGATTGGACACGTTTTCATTTTCAATATTTCTTTCCAGGAGCATGGTTGCGCTATAAGCACACGGAATTCTGCAGCTCTAGCAAATCTAACCAAGATCATGCGCGGTGTTCACTCGAAAACGTAACGCACAACTAAATTCGGTCCGAGCAAGTCATTTTTAGCGTACGCTATACTATTCCGTATTGCGTACGTAAGAGCCAGCAACGCTATACTAAAACTGTCTAATGTCGCGTTGGGCACGCGACGCAGCTCAGAGAGCGAAGCAACTGGTAGCGTAGCTTCCATTATCGATTGGTAGCGCAGGTAGGTTACTTCCTCGATTTTTAGTTCGTGCAGCCACCGCCTGGTGCCGTCGGTATTTGGAAAAGGTCCATTGTACTGGACCTTTATACAACCGCGTTCGCAACCGCTTTGCGAACGCGGATCCGCTTCCAGTGTGAATGAGCGGGTAGGGAGCCTATACAGGAACTCCAGGCCGCCTTAAGGTGGCTTCAATTCGGTTGGTTTTGGTTTCAACGCGCATGTGGCTATGTTGATGTGTTATGTAGTTTTCGCTTAATTTTGTGATACAAGTGTGTTCCTTGCGGTACAAAACGAATGATACAGTCATACAAGGTTCCTATTAGGACTACGAAGTGGTTTTGACCCTAAACGGCGGACATTATTGCGAATACCTTCCTTTTGACCCTTAAATGACTTCACCGGGACTTTAATACTGCAAATAAATTAAATGATCATGTTTGTCGTTCAGCCAGATACGGCGACGAAACCATTGAACTGAGGAAGGAGTAGGATTATCACTGCCTTCAGTCGTACCCGTCGCCGCTATTTTTCATAGAAATAAACTAATGAAGAGACTAACGCATTATTTTTATGGCGAAAAAGTAAGTTTGCAACCTGATTAACAATGTGCTGAATCGCGAAGAACAGACGAACTACAAAGTTTAGTGCTCACGGTCTGACGTTCGAGGACATAAAACTTTTCTTATCATCGCCAACTGGCAAACCCATTTAAAATAACGCATAATACGTAAAAGAAAAATAAAAAAAACCGGCATTGTTTACATTTTTTTAAAGAAATTAAGTACTCGAGATATGTTTCAATGGCCCATCCTTGAAGGAGTAGGAAATGTTTGCAACTATGTAAAGTATTTCATTTATTAAAAAATTGTCAAATGGTTGGCCTTAGGAAATAACCTTTTCGCTTTGCGGACATTTCCTTACGACGTATTTAGGATATGAGATAAATGAGAGTCCCGCCAATGGAAGTTTTAGATTTTACGTAAAATTTGCGAAATAAAATTAAAGTGTGCAATAGAATTGTCCTCCGGAACGTTTCGCTGAAGTCGAATTCCAGGTACCACTTTTGACAAAATGCGCCACAAGACAGGGACAGAGTAAGGGAGACGCGGCAAAGAGATCATGTACCAACTGGCCCATCTGTCTCTATTGATCCAGGTACCACCTCATGTATCTGTGCAGACAGACGTTTATTCGTTTGAACAGATATGCCTCTAATTTTCGGCGGCGTCATCAACCACTGAAAGTAGATCCAGATCGACAACGGTGCACACGGGTGATTTTTATGCAGACAACCTCTTTTCGACGTCACAAATCGCTTTTCTCTCAGGCGCTTACAAACTGTTTGCGGCATGTGTTTTACTCCACCTTCCTTGCTTCAAAAAATCATTTGAGTTAGGTAACTTCAAAATATATAATTTTAGATACCTTAAAAGTATCGTGAAATCACTCGAGTGACTGCAGCCATTCTACCGGCCGAGCAAAATGTATAATATATTTTAATTCATTAATAGCCTATCCAGCGAATATTTATACGGCAAAAACAATTGCCCATATATTCAAAAGCAGCTGTTATTTTCTTATTTATGAGGACGGAGCACGATACTCTGAAGAAATACATAATAGTGACTTTAAGTTTTTACGTTGACTGTATTTAGCGCGTATTTACGATCATGAATGTGCGATCATAAATACACCTAGCTTTTTTATTGCGAAGGTTCTACCACTATCCCTGAAAAAACCCGCGCTGCCGTAAGTCCTCTCAACCCTCGTTTTGTCTTATTTAAAATTCCCCTGGTGGATTTGAAGCGACGCAAACGTGTTTCATACTCGCGCCTTCAGTGGGGTTGATGCGAGCCCACTCTTGTACGTTAAAAAAGAAACCAATAAAAAGCGCTCTAAAGCCTCTCAAAATTCACTAAGTAAATCACGAGGGACATAGTATAATTTTTCTTATTATTAAATATCATTCTATAAATCTTAATATTTATATGCCGTGAGCCATACTGAAAAACCTAGTATATAACATTTCGCGATTTGGACTATGAACCTGAAAATCTATCTGAATTCCAGGTTTTCGAAAATTATTCCTTTGTCTGCAATCTGGATTTAAGGTTTCTAGAAACAATTTCAGTTAGATTTCCAGTTCCTCAATCCAGATAGTGAATACGGGGTTTTTCGATAGGGAGGTTTTGATTGCTTCCTCTGATACTGCTGTGCGGTTGAATTGCAAAGGGGGATGGGTAATAACCAGGTGCCATTAGTCGCCTTTTACCTCATCTTCACTAAACGTTTGCCTGAATAAAGATATTTTAAAATTTTGAATTTTTTTTTTTTTTTTTTTTTTGGGGGGGGGGGGGGGGAGGGTTTCACTGTTCTTAACATTGTGCGATGTAAAGCAGTGAACACATGAACCATGAAAACGAGCGCCGCGCGACAATATTCCTAGCAACCGGTGCTGGCGTCTCTACGTCACTTCCTTGCGGCGCCGCGGCCCTCGGATGTGGTCAGAAAAGGTTACTCCGTGCGCCTGTGGTACGCCTAGCGGCGAGCGGTGAAAGTTGTGCGGCGCACAGTTCCATCGTTCATGTGTTCCATCACGGCCTCCTCTTTACTGACAAAGCTGAGAAGCGGCTGCCAAAATGGAAAAGGTGGAGCGGCAGACAACAGACAGGAGAAAAGCCACGTGACTGGCGCCCCGCTGCGGCGAGACGCCGAGACACAGTTTTCCCGAGCGTACAAGGGTGTTTCGGGTCCTCCTTGCTGCAAAATTTGTGCGCTGACGTCCAGCTTCCCCGAGAAATGGCTCTTTGCGATGCCATGTGCTACCAGATCCTCGCGCTCCAAATCAGCGACCGGGCACTCTATGGCTCCGTCATCGAAGCGCCAGGCTTTGAGAGTATAGAGGAGGCTATGGTTCCATGCTTAAAGGGATACTGAACCGAAATCTGGATCCCACAAAACACGCAGCAAAAGCGTGCAGCGGGATGCTACAAGCATCAAACATCATTCATACAGCGATATCTCGAACGGATGACCGTATTTTTCAAGAAAAGGAGGCGCATTTGACAGTAATGTTCACGTCATGTTTCTCCGAGAAGGAGAGAGAACGGCCTCGCGTCTTCTCCGCCTCGCGGCCTTGAGGGAGCGAAGCGAAGAGAGGAGGAAACTAGGTATCTTGACGGTCACGCGCCTCGTCGGCCTGGTTCAATGTCGACCTCTTTTTCCAGAAATACGACTGTCCATTCGGGATATCGCTTTACGAGTAGCGTTGTAGGGATTGTAGCGTCCCGCTTACATCTCCCTGCATTATTTTTTCTAAAATTCAAATTTCGGTTCACCATTCCTTTAACGCAAGTATATTTGCCACGTCCTGACGATGCCGTTCCTCTCGCGCCTGAAACTGATGTTACTGACGTCGCCGTCGGCATGTCGCGGAGCAGACCACAGACTTCCTTTATCGATAGGAGAGAGACTGGAAGCGTGTTGATTAGGCCTGTGGGCGGAGCATGCACTGCATTATTTACCAGTCACTGACTATATGGAAAGAAACTGAAGGGAGGAGAAAATGACAGCGGCCGGTGACGTCACAGCTAGGCGCTCTGACGTCATCGCACGCTGTCATCTTCTCCTCTCCCTCAGTTTCTCACCAACTACTGAGAGTGAACCGATCGGTTATTAAGTTATGCGGCGAGAAAGAGTTTACTTACTGTTGCTGGCGTTTCCCGTGGGTTGTATGACAAGGGTGGAAAACTGCGCAAGAGAGAGAAATGTGTAATCAGCGAGAAGAAAGCGAAGTCGGAAAACATTAACTGATGCGGACTTTCAATATGTCGGTAAGCACAAATCAAGACTACTAGTTCAAGCAGGCATCAATTAAGGCCGAGCTAAGAGTGCCGCGCCCAAATATTGATTCGGTTACTGAAGTTCACGGCAGAGAAGTTTTCTCATATCGAGTGATATGTACCGGGTGTGACAGGGATATGTCTGCGACCTATAGCCTTCTTGGTAATTCAGAGGTAAAGTGCCGGCCCACGGATCTTTGAGTGGTGAGTTCGGGTCCCGGCCATGGCCTACTGTTCTGCTATCATATTTGTTATTTTCGATTTCGGTCTCTGATCTAACAAGAATGTCTTTATAGTCATGGGGGGGTCTTCAACATAAATCATCACAATGAGCCTCGCGTTGTCATTATAGTGCGTTCTAAGTGTGAGTTACACCGGGCGTAGCGGCCTCAAGTATGGTGTACTTAAGTATCTTATGAGAAAGAAAGACGATACAACTACTTCTACGGGTTCCGTAGGAAATTTGTACTACGGCCCAGCTACCTGGCTCGCATTTGTTAAAGATCGAGGCAAAGAAAAAACACTAGGAAACATTTCTCACCTGAGTAACGCAAGCTTCGATGACATTTGGAGGGAACGCATTCCTGCAAATTGTGAACGTAATCATTAGTCACTTGTTTTCTCTGAACTTAGGGAGCATTATCGATCTAGCCAGTACATAACGCGAATGATTTAGCTGGTTCGAACGGTACCATAATTACCCAAGCTGGGTGCGTACAAAACATATGTTATGAATAGCGAGTTACACAATTCTCGGTGTTTCGTAAATAAATCTGGGCACGGAACAGTGCGACACGATTGGGACACAAAGGAGCACAGAACACATAAAATTGAACAGTCCCAGTGAGACGGTATTTTGCAAAACGCCCCTTTGCACTTTCATAGTCACTCACAGCTTGAGAAATGCAGAGCGTAGCGATATTCAGCATATAATTATCGTTCGTCAGCTATGGGATTGACACATGAGCCGATAAGAATGCCGAGGGACCAATCAAACAAGAAGCGTGAGTGACAGCTTATTATCGCAACGCCTCTCGCTTCGTGATCGGTCCCTCGGCTATCGGCTCACGCCGCAATCTCATTGGCTGACGAACGACAATGACATGCTCAGAACTCGCCAGGTCCTGTGTTTCTTAAAATGTCGGTGACTCTGACCACACTGGCCGTCGCTTGACGCTTGTCGCGAGAGGAACAGACTGGAAGGTATCTTGAACTAACTTTCTCGGACACACTTAATAGATCGCATAATAATGAGAGTGAAATCAAATTGCAACAGTAAAACCACCGTTGCATCGGAAATCGCGGAGCGTGTTTTCTCGTACATTAAAAGAATACAAACTCGGTGGGAGATTTGGAAACGGGTTTGATAGTTTGATAATCACCGAGTTTCAAGAGTGCTCTGGCGTCCTGCAGGACAAACAATGTTCTCTAAAGGTTTTTTTTTTTTTTATTCTACGAGCTTTTTTTGATATTTGGCTTCAGTTTTAAGACGTGCACAGTTTCCCTGAGCAAACTTCTCCGCCTCAGTTGTTTATATTCTAGCTTACGTTTCCTAAGTTTGAAGGCATTTTTGTTTTTAGATTATTTTCACCGGGAAACTAGCTTTTCTGGAAGGACGCCCTCTTGTACTTACATATATATATATATATATATATATATATATATATATATATATATATATATATATATATATATATATATATATATATATATATATATATATATATATATATATATATAATTCTTTTTTCTTGCTGTCAAGGTGCAATTTAGTTATTGCAGTTCAAGATTTTGCTTTCAAAGGAAGACGCACAAGTGTCAGCCGTAAAGAAGACGGACGCCCATCCGCATCCACGACTGATGACTACATCGAAAGAGCACGAGAACTGGCCCTAACGGATGGACTAGTGGCAGTGGATGACTTGACAAATAATTTACAAATCAGCCGAGGCTTTGCTACGCAATAATCCATGACTGGCTTGGGTTCGGAAAGGTTTTCATTGAAACGAATTCTATAACCAGTGTGCGGACAATTTTTAATCCATCTCGCATTATACAGGACGTGACAGCTTCTCCTAAGCCGTCCAAGGGCAACGTTCTGTATGTAAATATCAACATCAACAGCTGTGTGTGGAAAAAATGTTTTGCTTTTTTGTGTGTGAAATGTGAGATATTAGGGTAACAACATAGACCTGCGCAACGCTTCGCCCGTGATGTCACATCCATCCGCACCATCAAATCTCTCTGCACACCCCCCCCCCCCCCTCCCATCTCACCCCAAGCCCACCTACCCAAATCCGCCCCTTTTTTCTAACAGTGAGTGAGAAGGCAAGGCCCGTCTCTCGCCTGATGAGGTCCATGAGGGTGTCGGCGGTGGTGACCAGCCTGGCTTTGGAGGTGCCCGAGGCCGGCAGCTTGCTGTCCCCGGAGCCCGGCTGGATGGCGAGCACGAGCACGATGCCCAGCACGATGGCCATGAAGGTGGTTGTGAAGTAGTACACAACGGCACGCAGGCCGATCTTGCCGGACAAACGAGCGTCCAGGGACCCGACCGCGGCTACCATGCTGGACGTGATCAGCGGCAGGATCAGCCCACGGAGCATTCGCAGAAACACCTCGCCCGGGAAGTTGATGTACATGATGTTGCGCTTGGAAAACGGCCCTGCGGGGTGCAGTTCCACCACACGTTCAGTTCCCAACGAACCAAGACAATTTGTAGACATTGCCAGTCTTGGGATGAAGCGAGGAAACCGTCATTTAAGTATTCGCCGCATTAATTTACTCCGCGGTTAACAAACTCTAGTTACATCACACAGGCTAGTCCATTCAGCTTGATTAAAATACATTCTTTATCAGAGCTTGGGTGAATCGATCGAATAATAATCAAACAATATTAAAGTTTTTTTTTTTGGTTTCTTTTTTTCAGCGCAGGTATAAATTACGCATCGTCGAATGCTCAGTCTCTGCTTAAATGTAGCTCTAGCGGTTCGGTCCAGTTAACAAAGTTTCATAGCTTGCCCATATCTGATTCAAAAGTTATAAGCGATTTGGGGAAATTCCCAATGAAAAAATGGCGGCCCACAATTTCCGCAGAAACGCGGAGATTAACGACGCCGGATACACAAAACGAATCCCATTTTCCTCATTTAGATTAATAAAAAAAGTTGCTGCATTTTTTATTTCAAGTAACGGCAAGCTCTGAAATTCCGCTATCTAGTCCGAACCTCTAGCGCAACATTTGGGCGGAAACTGAGCGTTCTGCAAGGCGTTGTTTAGTTTTGCGGCAAAAACATACTGTAAAGGTTTTTTCAGAGCCACTCTGTACATGCTGACTGGGCAATTCGCAAGTATTAACCTCTGGATGTTTCGAATGTATATCTCGCATGGGGTCGTAGGATGGACACAGTGAGCGCAAAACTGTTGGGTCAAGGAAGCTTGACCGTCACCACACGTTGTGTACATTAGATACCAACGGAGTAGTAATTTTCAAAATAGCGTTTTCTCTAACGTAAGACAACGGGTACTAGGACACGTTTTGGACTGGTGCGTTTAGCGTCCTACATCGTCCGTGCAACGAAAACAGTGATAAAGTGGCACAAACGACGTCACAGGAGTAGGCGTGTCATGCTGTCGCATGTCGCGGCCCTGGGGGGTGGTCGTAGAAGTTCCGACAATAAAAATACGAGCAAACGAAAGTGTAGCTGTCGTCAAGCGGTACTGTACCTCCAGGCTGCTGTGAAACTTCCGCGAGACAGTGTAAGTTCCGGTGCTTTGTTTTAAGATAGGCTGCACTCGTATATCGAATTCGACGGTGTACTCTCGGTGCAGTCGGTGTGAGAGGTACAGGTAATTGGAACGTAACAAATGAGCGAACAAGTTCCAGCCGAACTCGCGTCAAATCCGCGTCATGTGCGTGCTTCCCTAAGGGACGTCACAAATCCAGTATCACGGCCTTGCCATCGAGGAGCTGGTTCAAGATTCCATAGTAACCCCATTCCCACGCTCACCGAGGGGCCTGAGGAGGACCCCCAGCGTGATGCCTGCCACCACTGCGGCGATGGTGGCCACCGTCAACTTGTTGTGCCGCAGGAAGTCGTGGCAGCAGCCGTGGTGTGGTGGCCGCAAGCCTCCCCTGGCGGACTCGGTGTCCTCCTCCATCTTGGAGGACGGGACCAGCGGGGGCGCCGGCAGGGCTGCCGGCGGAGCCGCGTTCTCGGCCAGGTTGGTGGTCGACATGCTCGCCCCGTCCGCCGTGCTCCGGTAGATGCCACCGCGGAAGGACTGCCAAAGAAAAGGGGCACGACCAAAGGTATAGTTGGACGCTGCAGTTGGAGGTGGTGCTAGCGAATGAGATGTTCGGGTTTAGATACGTATACCTTTGTCGCTGCACACTGTCATATGAATAGAGACAAAGGTAGCTAGCCTTTGCGTCTACCTACCTAGTAACAATTTCAATCAAAGCTTGGTGCTCTAACGTCTCCGGATGCTTTCATCTTCTCTTTCTCACTCTCTCTCTCAATATTTCTCCATACGTATAAGAAGGGCCAAAAACACGACAGTACCAGGAGTGGCGTCCGCTGGTTCGGCGACTGCGGCACGGCCGTCAATGTCATCCCCGCGCCATGCGGAAGGGGCACAGAACATACAGGTGTTTCCATGACCGAAGAACGTCTTTATCGCAGCAATCCTCGCAAGGTGAAAATGATCCCGTCCGCTAAATAGTTGTTCCGGACATCCTGCATCACTACGGCGAACCAGTTTTCTCAAGAAACACCGTGTCCCTTAGCGTGGAACATTCTAAATTGTCTGTCATACTTTGCAAGCACGTGTGCTGAAGCTAGCCCCAACCGACTCTGTTGTCTAACCGCACTTTCATGTAAGCCACCGTCTCCAGGTGTGAGCCAAGGACGAGTTCGACAGAGCTCCATCAAGATAGCTGATAGATGAACACTCCTATCGGGATGTTTACGCTAGACGCCATGATCAAGGTGGTGCTCTGTCACAGTTGATAAACGATATCGTTCGAGGTCCTTCTAATTGTTCGGAAGCTTCTATTGCGGCAAGATGGAAAAAAAAACGAAAAAAAAAACGTCACAATCTGCTTTATTGTGCTCGTTAAGCGTCTCCACATTACGAAAAAAAAAAAAAGAATTTGTGCTGAGCAGAAGCCAAACGGTTTTCTAAAGAAGCCACTTCCTTGAATTAACCTGAAAGCGCCAGTTTGCACAAATTTGCGATGAACATACTCCATCAACAAGATCTTTTTCTTTTCTTTTGAGGAGCCAGCTATTTTGGGTACATGTCGCGCTAACTGCACTGAGCCGATAAATCAAATGTTTGAAAACTTTGAATATTAATACACACGGTGTTTCAAAAAGCGGCCGGGCTCTTTAAATCGACCTCAAAAATCGAATTTTTAACCTATCGCGCTACGATTATGTGGAGCGTTTCCCACAGGTGGTGCATGTTTTCTATAAAATTTTCAGAGAGCGAACTTATCTGAGGAAAAAGTAAAAAAATAAAAGGCTTAGCTGTTAAGCAAACGCAGCGAAGCCTTTGGCCTTCAAACAATAGGGCGCCCTATTGTTTGAAGACCGGTGGCTTCGCCGCGTTTTTATAGGAGTTAAGGCATTTCTCTTTTTTTACCTTTTCCTCGGGTAAGTTCGCTCTTTGCAAACTTTATAGAAAAAAATGCACCACCTGTGGGCAACGCTGCACAAAATCGTAGAACGATAGGTTAAGAAACATATTTTTGCGCTCGATTTAAAGAGCCTGGTCGCTATCTAAAACACCCTGTGCAGAACATTTTCAAAATGAACAAAGCATGGCCACCAAGCATGTTCTTACAGTGACTTGATTGCTGAAAAGCCTAAAACAAGTAGCTGACGCCCATCATACGGAAGACACTATTTTTTTTTTTTTTGCTCGGCGCATTTACAACTTCAGAAGTACAAAGGACGGCATAATTTGGTACCAGTTGTATGTTGCCAATGTTTACCATAGCCCAACGCCGCCTACTGGAGCTGGCTATGCAGATTACACACGCTGTGGGTTGACGCAGTGCAATCGTGTCCATCAGGAAGCCACTATACGGCATCATGATTTTTCGGGTAGCCCTAGGATTATACAGTTGAATCACAATACTCCGTTTCAGATTACGATAGGCCGCATGGGACGGTACGAGTAAGTTACGTCACGTGACCTTCGGAAGTAGCGCACCGACCCTCGGGATGCGTAGCCACATGATACTTTCACAGCGCTGATATGGACCTGGATGGATGGATGGATGATTCCGGCTGAGCCCTTTGGATCGGGCGGTAGCTCACGCCACCTAGCCATTTTGTTTCATCATTTAAGCTTAGAGTATTTAAATGTGAAAACTATATTCACTCTGCACTGAAAAGGAAGTGAGGCTATAAAACCCCCGTGCCATTAGCTAATAAGAAAATACCTCGCACTCATTACCTTTTGCGAGTGGCGAGCGCCGTCTGGGGAGTTGTCTGCGAACTACAAATGAAGGGAAGCCGGGCATTTCCCACCCGTCAGAAAGCATTGGCATCGTGCCGTTGTATCGGTCTTCGGTGCTTTTTTACACCCCCTACTATCGATACTAAAAAACGAAGCGTCAAAATAGTCTAAACACGCGCGAAGATAGATGCTGACAATGTTGGTCGCGCGTGATGATGCTCTGCGAGAATGGTGACAGCGGGAGAGTAGGCATGCGCAGAAGCTTAGGAAACAGGTTCATTGGCTATGATGTCTCCTAGCATTCGCTGTGGTTCTTCGTAATATCGGAGCATTTTTTTTAAGAGGCTTGAAATACTGGCGTGTTTCTATGCAGAAGGTTACACTGAGACGAGAAAACGTCTGCTTCTGTACCGGTACATGCAAGAGTAGATGTCTCACGCCTGTGTCAGTACGTTCGTGTAGGTGTTTCAGACAGTAGCCTTGGTTGCGCTCAGAAGGACGGAAACGACAGCAAGCACAAATTCACCGGAATAACAGTTCGTGACAAGCGATGCAAAAGGTGGCGCCGTGAAGCAATCACGAGTCACGGTTATGTCCGGGTCGTTGCTGTTGTTTCGGTTGCTGTGGGTGCACCTAAAGGAAAATGTGTGAATGAGCCTTAAAATGCCATTTCACGAGCCCTTTATGCATGGGCAAGCGCACATCGTAAAGTAAGCTCTCCGCCCAGAGGGTAATGATCGCGTTGCACATCAACTAACAATGCGCTCGAAGCAACGATGAGAATAAAGCGTGACACGCGTTTTTTTCTTGCGCATCAATTGCGTAAATTTTTGTAAGGCGGACATACATACAACCAACATGGTTTGGCATAACTTTCCAAGAGTAGTTGGTGATATATTAAAGATGTCAAGCGAAGCTATCAGACGGTCTCCTGACTCACCGCTAATATTCGTAACAGATTTCATTGTTGCTGAAGTAAATCATTAATAAAGTGCAGCCCCAGCCCCCCCCCCCCCCCCCCCCCCCCGGCAAGCTTATATTTACTGCCGCTGGTTAGCATCTTTTGGCCACGACAATAACTTTACTTATTCGCCTTATTTTGGTTGACAACAAACTCAGTGGCGCCATCTATTCAATAACCCCGGCACACTTCCGGTTCACGTATATTTCCGAATTTTTTTACTCATCATTCTTTTATCATAAAAGTGAATTAAGTCTGACAGTGATGTACGTAAGTGGCCGTTTGCAGAAGATAGGGTGTATATTTGATTTTGCAGATACTGCGAAACCCGCCGTCTAGTTCAGAACCGGAAGTGGTTGGGGCTACATGCACACTAGCGCCACCACGTTTCAACTCAACGTGCCGAAAGAGCGAATAGACAGTTTCCAGCACACCGTGCTCGAACTAAACGCGGTGTTTAAATATTTTTCATCACACTAAACTTTTCTGCAACCTTAAGGGTGTAAATCAGATTGTCCCAGGGTTAACGACATGAGTGTCTGAAGGAACTCCTTTAGTATACTGGCGAACACTTGAAATAGCGCTCTGGCGATCTTTGCATAATTTTACGCGCAACAAATTTACAAGCAAAACGCAGAAACATATCTGACGACCACAAGTATCATGAATTCAACCCAAAGTGCTTCCCGCACAATCTATCGTGGTCCGACGGTGTCTGTTTTTTTCCTTTTCTTGACACCTATCCATTGTCTTGGACAAACCGAGCAGGCAGAAGCCGCATGACAACTGATCTTCGCACTTTTCCCTGCTCTTTTGGTACAGTCCCCACTGTCGCGGCGTTTTGACGAGAAGGCAGGGTTTAGTCTGGTTTCTTCCAAAACAACGCAGGAATGCCCGTCCCGTATGAGGGCTTCCGCCCACACTATTAGACCGGAAGTGCGCCCGAAGCGCCACCATCGCCGCGTGACGTAGCAGAGTTGAGTTGGTCTATATAATCCGTTCACCGCTAAGCTGAGACGGCGGTGGGAGCTGTAGGCCCTCGTTGGACCGTCAACCGTTGCTCTTTCGCCACGTGATCACCCTCCCGCCCATAGTTACGAGTAGAGAGCCGGCTCAGGTGATAGGAGGGAAGCGGCTGATTGGTCCGGCTGGCACGTAGCTCCCACCGAAGTCTCAGCTGAGCGGAAAACGGAGTATAGTAAAGTATTTGGTATAGACTTTTTACGCGGATCAGTTACTCGAACCGCCACCAGTCGCCGCGCCGCTCGGCGCCGCCAAAAATGATCTTCACTTCTGCTCGCGGCCAAGGCAGGCAAATCTTGCAGGCAGGTATCTACACCGAGGCTTTGCCGACTTTGCTCGCTGTCGTTCGTGTGCGATTCAAATGAGGGACCACAGTGGGACGCGCCAACCCGGTCCCGCAGACAAAACATGTTCTGTTGTGCACCCCTAGCGTACTGGGACTCTCCGTGCTTGGTACCTTTTTCGATGCAGCGATTCTTCAGCGGAAAGGAGAACGAAGAACTGCGTCTGTACCGCAAGGGACGCGGCATCAAAAACGTATGATCGCTTTGAGTCTTTGATTTCCGAATAAGCCCAGGCCAAATAATCCAAGTTAAAGATGTGATTACCAGCAGCTCTACCCACGTCAAAATGTAAATTGGCGACTATGCCTTCGTACAGGACAACATCCGTACGATCCACCTCATATATGTTTGGCACTAACTGATTCATGTCGGTACACGTATTATTCAGAAACAACTGCCTCGCTTGCGTCAGGCGCGCACATGTGGTGAGGAACACTGTTGCGATCGACTATTCTGGCGTCAATTCGATATCTGCAGAATGCACA